CCTGTTTGGCCAACGAGAACAGATATTGTAGAAAAGTTGAATAAAAAAACTTGTTTCTGAAATGACGTTTCGATAATTTAGAAACTGCGATGCATTTTAGAATTCACATTTTATTTTCGAAGTATTTAGTTATTCTGAGTCAAATAATAATTTATCAATTAATTTCTTACTTACTTAGGTTTGCGTTTTACTAACAGAAAAATGTCGTAAAAATAACAATGGACAATATATATATCTTCACAGACGAAGAAAATTTCTTTAGACTTTGAAATGACAAAAATAGTTTTTTTGCAACGAAACAGGATTCGTTTCTTGGAAACTTAAATGACAAAAACGAACGCTAAATTAATGACGCGATAAATAATTTGATAAATTTTTGGTTTTTCATTAATTAGACTAACTAATAGTAAAAACTGATCGAAATTTTTGTGCTCTTTATATATTCAAATATGCCTATTCAGCGAAACAAAATCATGATTTATTTTGTCACGAACGTTAAGACTATTGCCAGTACTGAAGCTGATGCCCAAAGAATAGCAATGTGACAATGAAGCAAAGAACTACCCTTACTTCGCTACCTCGACTAAAGTTACCCAAATGAAAGGTGTTTAGTTTTGAGCAGTGAATATCGACACATGTCTGAACGAAATAATATGTATTACTCGCTGTTGCAACCTGTCTCATGGTCAAACACACGATGTGTAATACAGTTTCATGTATTCACTGATCAGACACTCGAATGGTAACCCAGACCCAGACACAAAACTCCTTCACACGAGAAAAATGCGGAATTTTAGAAACATTGATAATTAATTAGGAACAATCAGTAAGGAAGCGGCAACAAGCCCAATTAAGGGTAATCCATATGAACGCTGAAGTTGTGTGTGGATGCTTTGGGATTTTCTGCTGTTGAAAAACTGTTCGACAAGAACTAATCTATTTATAATCGTTTTATTTTCTACAAAGTCCACGTGCCGATAAAAATATTTAATGAAAAGGTAAAGAATTTGGCCAGAAGACCACTCTGACGATATCTACAGATACCTTAACACAGTCATTTTTGCAAACAGACAGTCGGTGCACAGAAGCGTCAGAAAATCTGAAAAACCTACTGAGCCTCAACTATGCCTGCAGAAATATTAAAAATAAGACCAAATGTCCCAAAGTCTTCGATGTATAGTGAACGAGGCACAAATCTAAATAAACTTATGCTTCGGCCATTATTGCAAAAATTATGGATACAAAAACACTAGTAATAAAGGGGAAGAAAGTAACGCGGACCTATAGAAGCCGTTAACACGTCAACAGAATCTGTAAGGTAGGGAAATCAGCATCTAACCAAACGATTTCGTGATGGCCAGATTTCAGAATTGATCTGTAAGCTGTAAGCCTCGTTACTGTGTGTGCGCTATGGTCGGTCAAACAGAACAGCTCATCGTGACGACACTGTTGTAATGTTAAAACAAATAAATACTACCACAGTCTAAGTCGTGTCCTTTAAGCAAAAAGAAACACGATGGAAAGTGATGTTAAAAAATTCGATTATAAATTTACCTGATCAGTTCTTCGTGCAGCGCCACCTGGCGAGAATGTTCAGAGCTATCCAGAGCAGACCATGTCGTTTCGATATCGTGAAGCATTAAACCAGAAGGGGGTACATATAGTTTCGTGCCGAGGCTTTTGAGGCGTGTCTGCAAGTTGAAAAAGTACACCTCGATGTCCCCTTTTTCTTTGTATCTACAGAAATTCGTGTTTAGCATCGAAGCAACAAATCAAATCGAACTGATATTCTACGCAATTTACTGTCGACCAAAATATCTGAAACGTTCTGGGCAAAATAATAAGAAGCCTTGAAGCTTTGTTTAGCAAACACGAAACGAAAAAAATTAAAACTCACTTTGGAGTCACTTTGTGAACTCACTTTGGTGGCCTTTCGACTGTTCGGTACTGTTTAAACTTAAGCATTTCCTCCTGAATGCCCTTCAAATTGTTCGGAAATCGTCGATCATCCAATTCAGCAATCTTCTGGCGGATCCACTTCAAAAGATCGCTGGCCATCTCCTCGTACTCCAACTTCATTTTGTCATTGTTCATCATTTGCCATATGACCTAAAGCTCTGTTTATAATGAACACTCTTGCGCAATAGAGGAAAATCTCTGCATAAATTTAGATTTTTACCTTTCCAACTCTCTTGGCACCAGTCAGTTCCGTTTTCTGTCGAGCAAAATAATGGTAGTATGTAGACACGTAGGTCATTATCGACTTTTCATCCGGCCGGGAAACATCCACATCTAAGCAACCGTCGATTAAAAATGTTAATAGTCATCAGTAAAGCATAGCATATTAAGCAGTTTACTGCTGACCAGTTAGTAATTAAGCTATAAATATACAAATTAATCCGCATCTCTGTGTATATTAACTCAGTACTTTCAACATAGGTAAACTGAATATTTCTTGGTATATTTTTGCTGCTAACAGGTACACTGTACGACATGCAAATAAACTTGCGCATGAAACCTTACATAAGTCCAATAATAAGTATTCAATAAAAATAGCAACCGATAGTAGCAGCCCCTGTATTTTCTACGCAATCCTTAACAAAGAAGGGACAAAGACTGAGAAATTTTTCATAGTTGAGCATATTCTGAGTAATACGTGTATTACATGTATACATGTGGCTATGCGTGACGGCTGAATATTTGCAACAAGCACAAAATCAAGTACAATCTGTTAGGATATATCCGAGAGTAGTCCAACATCGGTAGCACAATCCTCATTATCTCATTTATTACCAGTTATTCTGCTAGATTTTTAACGGGATCAATACCGAATCTTCGTGTTTTAAGATACTTGTCTGTCTTATGGTTTCATTACCAGTACCAAAAGCGCAAATAAGATTTTATCGAGATGAACAAATCATTAACATGATATCCATTATGATAATGATAATGATTAGAACACGATAATATTTCCAATGATCGCTACCAATAGCTATACCGACAACGTGAGAACGAGCTAATCTGAACAAAATCAGTCAAATTTGGAAGAATTACCTCGTCACCTACCCTTCCGATTGTCATTACGCCAATGAAGGAATCCATTAACACCATAAGTGCTCACAGACTATCATATCGTTATCAACGATATCTTCTAAATAACCAATTTATTAGATACACGCTTGGTAACGCCCGAACACTGACAATCCAGCGTTCATAATCTTGTTTATGCCCATAGCTGAGAGCAACCATTTCTGTTATCATTAGCAGAACCGAACTGGGAATATGCGCGGACATAAGCGACGTGGATATATCAACAATGAAATCCTATGGATACTGATGAGAAGAAAACAACAGCATCTAAACTGACTGTGATAATGATTACAATATCTGTGATAACAATATTGATCACAGTAATGGGAGGTACATTAATACATGAAATTTTCTCAGATATGGTACAGGAGCGTGCCAGACTTTTAACGCCTGAACAGGGATAAAAGTATTTTGAGTTATCGCCCATAATCTGAATTTTGATAGGTAAGTGAAACTGAGATAGAATAAACTTGGGACTTTTAGACAAAACCTTTTGTAGTTGTTTTCACTGGACTATTTGATTTTAAAGAAAGCTGGCGTCGAATGCTGATTGTCACAGTGTTATGATCACAAATTTGAGCCATCTGCGAAAGAAAATATTCCCGATTTGTGATGTCCGCCGTGTTCGCAGTTTCTCAACATAAATGCTGTACCGCATTGAGTTCTGCCTCATAGAGGGAGCAATTCAGCTGTCGAACGGTTGCGCAATGCCTAAGATATCGGCTTTGAACTCCTGAGGTGCCGGTTTTGAATTCGTTCAAGAGACGACCGTTGTCTTAACCATGAATTTCTTCAGCAAGGAATCAACACCACCTTGCTTCGTCGCTGCCAAAAGAGAAAAGGGTAGGAAGTTGCTAACTTTCGAATAATAAAGAAAGCATGGTATTCTGGTGCGGTCATATAAGGGTGGATGAGGTGTACGGCCAAGCCGTCCAGTGCCAGTACTCCTTGTGGCTGAACTGCGCTTTGGCTCACCTACTAGCTGATTATCCAGTGTAATAATCAGTATAAGGTGTAACTCCGGTTTCGTTTATTCTTCCGCAAACCCGATTGGCTCCAATGTCGTTTATACATGTCGCATGCTGGACGGTGCTTCCTGGTCAGCGTATGCAGTTTCAGTTCCAACACAAACAGGTTGTATGATAGGGTGAACCGCGAATAATACCCAGATCATGATCTTGAGATGTAGCCGGGCGTCTTAAACATCTTCTGCGAGTGGATCTGCATCAGCGTTAGTGTTAGCAAATGAATTACAGTCAGCACGGATAAATCTAGACAACAGCTTTTGATTAATCATTGAAAGTAATTAGACAATATTTAAAAGTCCCCTCCTCATCAGGTAATGGCACAACAGTAGAAAGCAGATAAACGCGGGTTAAATTCATTACATATACCGGATAGCTATCTTACTCACCGGACATAGTCAGCCAGTTGTCGTTTCTGACTGCTCGAACTTTTTATTATAGTACGGTTTTCATTATAGCATAGGACATGGGTGACGATTATCGCAGAGACGGTGACCATGGATCAAGTTAAAAAATTTCAAAAATTTTGATTAAACTGAACAAAATAAACAACAGTTCTACGATTAACTCTACTTTTGAAAACTAGTACTATACTCAATTTTATAACATCAAACACTCCAACACCAACCTTCGGCGTCCAAAAGCTTGGCGATGCCCAACTTTTTCTCGGCAACGTCGAAGGCGTTGTTC